CACCCGCACGTGGGAGAGCTGGGGTCGCAGTGAGAGGACCGGGAGGAATTGTAAAGGCAGTGAGGAGCCCGGTTGGCCCGGGAGAGGGAAACTCCCAGGGAAACTGCAGTAGAGGAGGTTAGGCAAGCCACCCGGGGGTTGCTGGAGGAAGTGCCCAAGTTTGCATCATGTGCCTAATAAACAACTCGGTGACCTCAGGCCACTTAACCTAATGCTTGCTACTATATTGGGTTTAGTTTTATTTGGTTTATAACTTCAGAAATTATGGGGGGTGGGGATTGATGGAATTAGATCGAAGTATAGGAGCGTGCCAGGGGATGGTATTACAAAAATGATATCTTGTGCCTTTGTTTTTGTAAATAAGTACTACCTAGTATAATGTGTCACCTTTTTGTCTTACATATCCAATGCCACATGTAGTATTTTTACCCATTTTGTCTATCACTTAATAGGCGAACAGTAAGATTGTGTTAAGGTTGTAAGATTTCTGCCCCAAAGTGACCTAGATCCATCTTCGGTTATGATTTTGAACAGACTAAGGGTAAACAAGGAAAAAACTGGGGGTTGTTGATCTCTTGACCAGGCAGCCACTTGTTTGTTTGTTTTGATCTATAAATCCAGAAGCCTGACAGCTGTCAGAGTCCTTAAGAACTCAAGTGGAGCAATTTGGCTTGTCTGGATCGGGAAATGAGTCACAGGGAGAGCAATCAAAGGACACTCTGCCCGAGGTTCGTATTCCTGGCAGTCACAAAAACGAGATGGAGTCACGCTGCTGCCAGAAGGGGCAGAGAAGTGAAAGACAGTCACTGTGCTGGTCTCCGCGGCTGGTCAGAGTGGCTGCAGGGACAGCGAACGCACAGACCAGGCCCACCGCCAGGAGCCCCGCAAAACAACAAACCACCCCCTAGGACTCCAATCCTGTGGGGTGGGGAAAAGCCAAGGAAGGATCTGACTAGAGAACGAAAGACTAAGCGAAAGAAGCTAAGGTCTGGAGGCTGTGAGGAGCGCCACCCCTCAAACCACGCGTTCGGTGCTTGGGACCAAAACAAACCCGGGTGGCCCCGCCCAGAGTTGGTCACGTGAGGCCGCGGCGGCGGCGGCGGTTCCGGCGAAGCTGGTGGAGCCCCTGCGATTCCTTCCTGTGGTGCCGCTGAGGACCCCAGGCGGGCCCTGCGCGGACTCCACTGCACGTTCACTCCATTGGGTTCTGGCGGAGCGGAGGCCGCCTCGCGCTCTCCATGGCAGCGGGCTCAGAGGTGAGCTCTCACTTTACCCTGGAAGCTACAGCTTCAGGGAACCAAGGTAGGTGCCAGACTGAGGTCATCCCCTAAATGCAAACCCGGTCCCTAGGGATCCACCGGGCTCCTTTCTTGTGGCCCTTTGAGATTAGCCCCATCCCAGGTCTCTCCCGCCTTGGATTCAATTATGAAGAAAAAGAACTTGTTTTTATAAATGGGAGTTTTCGCAAATAGTGGTATCCAGATTTTTGATCGTTGTACAGAAATCCTAGGGCAGTGCTGTTGCACGCACAAGGGCGTTCTAATGTTAGAGTGGACTAGAATTAAATTTGTGAAACTGGAGGTAAGGGGAAACAGTGTGGGACTCTTGTGAACAGGGATCATGGGCTTTTTATTCGTTTTCTGTGGAACCTTGGTTTAGTGAATGGGTGAAGTTTGCTGGCCCAGGAGCTGGAGTTTCCTGTTAGCATTTAATGAAATGATTGCTCCTTGCATGGGCCCTGTTCTGCATACTGCCACGGGATCCAGAAACTTTTAAATGTTTATAACAGAGCCTATCCCGAGAACGCACAGTGAATAAAGGAACCTAGAAAGAAAAAAAATGACTAATAAATGGTCTAATTAATGCTATTCATAGAACACACTCACTCAGTGACAGTTGTCACCAGGAGGAGGGATCCCAGTGGGGAGAAAAAAATATTTCAAAGAGGGAATAGTTTGAGGTGAATGTTTATGATTGGACAGGATAGTGACAAACTCTGGTGCTGGTGCCGGGAGCTCTGGAAGACAGGGAGCAGAAAAACACAAGATGGATGTATTTGGAGATCAAATAGTTTATCCAGAGGTGTAGATGCCCATTCCCAGCTGAAGGAATAAATTATAACCTCCTACTCTCTTGACTTCTTTCTCCTGTCTTTATAGCTCATTTGCTTATGTACCCCAGGAGACAATTCCTGAACTTCAGTTATACCTCCAATCCATTGACCCTTCCATTGTTATACACTGCACTCTGACCATGTTTGAGGGCATGTCATAGTTTATCATTATGAGAATTATCATTCTTTCTTGAAAATACACTATTCTCTTGGCCCTCCCTGCATTTTATTCTGACAAAATTTACACTGAATGAACGCACCCTTTTGCACTCTCTGTATCTACACCTGTCTAGCTGAACATTGCTGGAAAGATTCTGCATGGACCTGTGGATATAGCTCCAAGGCAGAGCACTTGCCTACCATAGGGGAGACCCTGGGTTCCATCCCCAGCACCAGTTGATGGCAGTATGAAAGGAGAATGCTTAAGCTCTTGAATATTCTTTCAGGATGGACCTGAGATTCTTCTGATGTTCCTTTCTAACTTTCTCCTTTGACAGTTTCCTCAATTTTAACTCCTTTTGCCATCTCTTTCATGTTTATAACTCTATAATTCAGCTAATGACCTTTTAAGTCAGGACAGTTCTTCATCTAGTCTATCTTCCTTTTATCCTCCTGCATCATCAGATCCTAGATCAAATCATCTATATTTTTTACCTAAACCCCTAGTATATCTTCCTGACCAGTGTCCCTGTTTCCTAACTTGTGCCCCTCCAATTCCTTCTCTGTTCAGCAGCTGACATTTTTTTAAGGAAGAGAAGGATGTGGCTCAGTGATAAAAGGCTTGCCTAGCATGTTCAAGGTCTTAAGTTCGACCCCTAGCATAACCAAAAAACAAAATGTGTCACTCGCTTACTTAAATATTTTGAATTAATTTCATTGCACTTAGAACCTAGAATAAATGTCAAATTTCTAACTATGCCCTACAAAATGTTTAGTTTAGGTTCTGCCAACTTTCACTCACCTCTTCCTACTTTTCACATAGCTGACTTCTTCATGTGTCAGAGTATGTCAGCACCTGAGTCCTTCCCAGACCAATCTATCTAAAACAGTCTGTGGGTGTCCCCACCCTCCATGCCCCTAGATGTTTTATAATGCAGCATCTATTTCATCATTTTACTATTACCATCTGTAATTACTTTTTTATTCCATTTGACCTTGAATACTTAAGGGCAGGACCTATATCTGCTTCATTCACCACTGTGTGCCCATTAAAAGGTAAAGTATCGGGATATAATATTTTGTTGAGTGAATGAGTAAGAGATCTCTGTGCCAAGTCTAGAGACAAGAGGAGAAAGCGTGTTGACATAATCCAGGAATCAAAAGAGATTGCTATGAGAAGTGGTGAAAAAAGAGGGATCCCAAAGGTCACATTATACCATTTAAGAAGCCTGACCTTTAAAACAGCAGGAAGCCTTTGAAGAGGTTTAGTTAGGGGAGTAATGTGATCAGTTGTAGTTTTAGGAAGATCACTCTGGCTGAAGGGTTGCAGAAGAAATTGTAGGGAGTATTTAATCAGTGCCTCAGTTTCCTCTTCTATGAAATGCATGATAATTGTGAAAATTGAAGACCATATATGTTCATCCAGCATAATATCTGGCAGGATTAAATATTCAAGAATGGTGACAATTTTTATTAGTAATAGACAGTGCTAGCCTTGGTGACCAATAGGAAATTGGGAGGAAAAAAGAGAAACCAGGTGTAAGTTTGGAAGCTGAAGAACAGTAGGTAGTTGGAAGCAATGTTGAGTTTTAATATGAATGCATGGAGGGTAAGTACAGGATGATGATGCAGAAGAAAGTCAGGTACACAAATGGGAAAGAGGAGGTTTGGGTTTTTTTTTTTTAATGTATAGTATGCAGGTATCATAAAATTCACCATTTTATAGCTTACAATACAATCCAGTGGTGTTTAGTGTGTTCACAAGGTTGTATAACCATCACTATTTTAATTCCAAAACATTTTCATCGCTCCCAGAAGAAACATGTTCCCCATTAGCAGTCACTGCTCACTACCTCTTTTCCCAATCCAAGATAACCATGATCTCTCTTTCTCTATGTTTTTGACTATTCTGGACATTTTATATAAATGGAATCATACCATACATGGCATTTTGTGTCTGACTTCTTTCCTGTAACATAATCTATGTTGTACAATGTATCAATACTTAATTTTCTTTTTCTAGCTGAATAATATTTTATTGTATAGATCTATCACATTTTGCTTATCCATTCATCAGTTGATTTCCTTTAGAATTATTTATTTTCTATTGTGAATAATGGTTTTTATCCTGAATAATGCTACTGTGAACATCCAGGTACAAGTTTTGTTGTTGTTGTTGTCAACATGTGTTTTAAGTTCTCTTAGGCAGAGTAGAGTTGCTGGGTCATGTGCTATTAACTTTTTGAGGACATCCTTGATTCTTAATCTGAAGTCCTAAGGAGAGGAAAAAATTTGATGAAAAAAACACAGCATGCATACACATTTGTGCAGGTAACTTCAAATTTTGTGTTAAAGGGTCATCTGAAACTGTCTATGGAACTTTTAATCCTATTTTAAAATGTCATCCTCTCCAGCAACACCACTTTAGAGTGACCCTGCTTATTATCATTAAAAACTAAGTTAATGGCAAAATGCTCCTATAAGAGAAGGCTTTGCCTTCAGTTATGTACTGCTGATGTGAACAGAAGGTAAGAAAAATACATTTGTTAAGTAAATGCAAGTGAAAGGGTTAATACCTTTAGTACAATGATGACTCTATTGAGAGTCATAGAAAAGTTCATTTTTAAGCAAACTTATTACTACTTTATTATCATAAAATATATGAATGCATACTGTAAACAAGGGACTTTCATGCAGTGAGGCAGAAGACAGTCTTTGCCTTAAAAGAGCTTATAACTGTTATAAATATCACTTTTGGTGGGAAAGAGAATGTAGGTGAAAAAAGTTGTAGTAAGTCTGGTTGTGGTGGTGCAGGCCTGTCATTCCAGTAACTCAGGAGGCTGAGGCAGGAGGATCTCAAATTCAAAGCCAGCCTTAGCAATTTAGCAACATCCTGTTACAAAATAAAAATAATAATAAAAAGGGCTGGGAATGTGGCTCAGTGGTTAAGCACCCTTGGGGTCATCCCTGGTACCAAAATAAATAAATAAAAGAGAAAAAGTTGTAGTAGAAGATACATCCAAAAGGTAGGACATAATTAATTGGGATGTAAATATTGCACTCATTAAATACTTTGAGGGCTGAGAAAACTAATACAAATAAGATTGATCTGTGCTGCTTAGATCAATTTCTTGAAGGTTGGTATATTTTGAATGGGAATCAATGGAAGAGACCATTTTTGGTGAATTGAAGTAGAAGGGAAGTGGTAAGCATGAACCCCAAGGGCTACTGGCCTGGAGGGCTTAGAAGAAGATGAGGAGACTGGTTCTGGTAGGGAGGAAGTAGTGGTGGAGTTGCTGGTGGAAATGAGGAAGAGGATGTCCACTGAGTCCAGAGAAGAGCAGGGTCAAAATAGAAATGTTGAAGTGAAGAAGAGGGAAATTGTGGGTGAAAAAAGCTTCTTAGAAAAATAAAGTAAGGCATGGCAAAAATGAAGAAGTGGAGAAGAGTTTTGGGGATATGAGTGTGAGCAAGCTTTAGAGTGGTTGTCCTAGGGTGGGGGGTAATTAGGAGTTATCAATTAATGGTAATGTGATTGGGAACAGGAAACAGAACAGAGGGAGATGAGCATGAAACTGTAGAACCGATCCCTTTGTTTTGAGATTGTTTCTGATTATGCTTAATAGCTCATTAAGCAAAAGTAGCAAAAAGAAGTGGTTAATTTCAGTGCACTGCTTACTCAGTTATTCATAAAACTTTATTTAGCATTGCTTTATGCCAGGGGTGTAAAAGTAGAGGCTTGCCTTCGAGGATGTGATATTTTTGTTTGAAGTAATAGCTTGGAAATTATTAAAAACAAACATAAAACTACTTACTGTCAAGAATCAAATTAAATTGAGTGTGAGATGTTTCTTTTCCAGGGTCACACATTGGTTGAAGCATTTTGATGAATTTTAAATTGCAGTTCTTTGAGGTAGACATCATTATATTTCTTTCTACTGAGCTTTTGTATTTACAGTTACAGTCAGGCTATGCCTTGATAAAGAGAAGAATACATCCTTAGTATTCTTCTTCTGGTCACTCTCAAGGA